TTTTTTACTGAAGTATAGTCAGTTTACAATGTTGTGTCAATTTCTGGTTTACAGCACAGTGCTTCAGTCATATGTGAATATACATATATTCATTTTCATACTTTTTCACAGTAAGCTACTACAAGATATCGAATATAGTTCCCTGTGCTATACAGTATAAACTTGTTTATTTGTTTTATGTATACCAGTCAGTATCTGCAAATCTCAAACTCCAAAATTCCACTGTATTCTGTCACATCCAGGTCATCCACAACACCCAAGACACAGCAGCTCCTAATCTTTCACAGTGCCTGTAAATCACACGTGGACTCCCGCAAGGGTGATTAGCTTCGCAACTCTGGGTGAACTGGATCTGGGTGAGGCGTGGCATTTGTAAAGAAGTTTGATGTTTTGTCTGCTTTTCTGGCACAGCTATTGACATGCTGCTTTGAAAAGTTACTCACTTTCCAGTCATTTTGAACATATAGAAACCTTGCGATATCAAAACAAAGTGCTGTCTGTCTCTGTACTCGGATTCCCCAGCCATCCTTCCTTTACTGTGTTTGCCACCTCACGCAAAATACTGCAGTGTGTTTTACTCAAGACAGGGACTCTCCCAGAAAACCAGCATGTGACCTGCAAGTGAGGGATCATTATGGCCTCCACATTACAGTGCGACCCACAAGCCCATTTCAACCTTCACCAGCTGCTCCAACTCTAGGGAAATGGCCTTTTCCACTTGGATTCAGTTTTCTTTTCTCAGAAATGTTGCTGACACTTCCCCTCATTTTCACAACCTTGATGTAGTTCAAGGACACAAAATGAGTACGATCTGAGTGGCCTTTTCTGTGGACTTCTTTCACTTAGGATGTTTCAGTGTTCATCCATCTTGTACCATGTATCAGTACTTCACTGATTTTTTCATTATGATTAAACACATAACATTTAACATTTAAATGATTTTATGCATACAGTGTTACGGCATTAACTACGTTTGCATTGTTATGAAAACATCTTCACCATCTATCTCCCAAACTTTTTCATTTTCCCCAGGTGAATCTGTATTCAGTCAACACAGACTTCTCCCAGCTCCTCAAAGTCAAGTTCTGTCTCTGAATTTGACTCATCATTTTGTTTGTGTGTTTTCACTAGGAAATCACCTTTTTATTCTAGATTTCCAGTTTGATGCAATAGGTTTCTCTTCTTTGATTTAAAAATTTTCCTCTTTTTCTAGTTTTCTACAGAATTGTCACAATTAATTGACAAACATGGGTACCTTACAAGTAACTAAAATCCACATTTTATTCAGGTTCCCTTCATTTAACTCCTCTGTCCGAGGATCCCCACCAGGGGATCACATGGCAGTGAGTCCTCATGTTACTTTAGGGTCTTTGTGGCTTGGACGCTCTCTCCTGCTATCCTTCTCAATGACTTAGACGGTGTAGAGGAGTACCAGTCCGGTATTTCACAGACTGTCCCGCATTGGGGTTTACTTGGTGTTTTTCTTGTGATTAGAATGGGGTTATGGGTTTCAAGGAAGCAGCTCACAGAGGTCAAGTGCTCTCTATATCATTACTTTGTATCATGGGAACGCACATCAAGGCGATGTATCACTGTTGCCCTCCTGGTCGAGGTAGTGACTGTCAGATTTCTTTTGACCGTAAAGTTACTTTTCCTCCCAAGTCTGTACTGTGTGTCTTCTTCGGGATGAAGTCACTACCTGGTACCCACACTTCAGGAGGGGAGTTAGCACCACCTCCTTAATGAATGGCTGAGTATCTACATAAGGTATTTGGAATTCTTCCACATGGGAGGTTTCTATTCAGTGCTCCTCATTAAACACACACACACACACACACACACACACACACACACGCACGCACAATGTATCTATTTATTACCTATTGTGGACCACCCCACCGTGGGTAGTTATTTAAGTC